TACAACATCTAGCTTGTTATGCCTCAGTTCACCACCAGGGGGACCTTTGTCATGCCTCAACATCTCTAGCTTGTCATGCCTCAGTTCACCACAGGGGACCTTACAACATCTAGCTTGTCATGCCTCAGTTCCCACCAGGGGACCTTACAACATCTAGCTTGTCATGCCTCAGTTCACCACCAGGGGACCTTACAACATCTAGCTTGTCATGCCTCAGTTCACACCAGGGGACCTTACAACATCTAGCTTGTCATGCCTCAGTTCACCACCAGGGGACCTTACAAACATCTAGCTTGTCATGCCTCAGTTCACCACCAGGGGACCTTACAACATCTAGCTTGTCATGTCTCAGTTCACCACCAGGGGACCTTACAACATCTAGCTTGTCATGCCTCAGTTCACCACCAGGAGACCCTCTAGCTTGTTATGCTCAGTTCCCCCCCCAACCTAGCTTGTCATGCCTCTTCACCCCCAGAACCAGCCAGGGGGCAAAATCCTTCAGATCAAGACGCCCCCCCCCCCCATACCTCCGTGGAAGCGGAAAATACAGATAGATTCTGATGGTGGCTTTACATCTGCAATGGCCACTGTGTCCATGAATATGGCGGTGAATCCTGGACGGTTAATAAACAAGCCAGAACAATTTCTCCAGGCCTCAGAACTGTAATTTGACAGAAGACTCGTTGACAGCTAAAGAGAGTAGCCCAGATAGCTAAATAGAGTATTCCCAGATGTTTTGAAAAGGGGCAAGTGCTCGAAGACAACTTATCACAAACATCAGAAAAAGACAGTCATAATTTTTTGGTTATATTATGAGAAGAGGGAAACTAGAACATACTGTAACCACTGGAAAGATTCGTGCAAAGAGGAAGACAGTGAAAGAAGGTTCTTGACTGCCTATTGGTATGACATGGAGGGGGCAAGTTGAATTTAGAATGACATCACAGCACTCGGGACACACCCATAAGCGCTCTGTCCACGTTATCAACAGCAGGAAAAGAGGTCCAATTCCAATTGCAACAGTAACTGTCTTGATTGTACATCCGTCACGCCTTTTTCCCGATTGTTGAGCGTTGACCAGATCACTGGTAACTTCCGGCAGCAGACCGTAATGATCTGTCTGTGCCTCCGCACTGGAGAGGTGTCAACACATGAACTGATACACCCAGTGGCTGATCGCAGATTGTGGAGAGGCATGATTGTCCATACCAGTGGGCAAGACACATGATGATGATTTCGCAAACAGAGCTACCTGTCTTTTATTTTATCCAATAAATCTAGCTCACTGGCTAGGAGTTTTTCCTTTAGTGTTTCCCTCTCGGGTTTGTTTACTGGAGGTTTGGCATCCTGTGTTTCCCTCTCGGGTTTGTTTACTGGAGGTTTGGCATCCTGTGTTTCCCTCTCGAATGTGTTTACTGGAGGTTTGACATCCCGTGTTTCTCTCTCGGGTCTGTTTCCTGGAGGTTTGACCATGCCCTACTAGACAAAATCAAACACATTAATCCTGTTTATAGATACAATTTAATCATCAAGAAAACTACAACAAACACTTCATTCAGACATTACTTGACAACAACAAAAATCGACAAATTCTGTTTAGGCAAGTGATGAAAGGGAAGCAACCAACAACGGAAATAGAAGAATTCAGCCCAGCACTGATGTCGCAAATATTCTCAGTTCAAAAAGCTGTACTGGACATTCTCCTGCCGTATTGTTTTCCTTTATTCTTCTCTCCATAATTCTTCAATGGAGCATAGGCCCTCAACAAACAGACACCAAGTGGATTTTCTTATTGTGTGCAGCTCACCCCACTGCATCCACCCATTCTCTAATTCTTGTCTCAGCGTATCTGCATATTTTGTCATCCCTTTGTAAGATGCAGTTTTTCATCATTTAAAGCCCTAGTCTAGCTCTTGCCAGGGGCCGCAATACAACCCAGCCATAATTATGGTCTAATGGCTGAACACGGTTTCTGAGACCTCTCCACAGCGATCCTCATCCACATGGTGGCACTTTGTGTCATCGGGTGTTTATCGCTTGTGTGATGTCCTGGTGCGGTAAAAGAAGACAGATACATAGATCTGTGTGTCCCAGTGCAGGGACATTAGACATCTTATACGGCTTTCTCAATGTCAAATCTATTCAGTACCAGTGTATTTTCTCCATTTTGATTCACTGAAAATGATTTTGTTCCCTCTAAAAGCTTCAAGGGAGTGATTCTGACACACCATTTAACTCTTTGAGTCCCAAGGAGCACATCATACGTTCATATGTTCCTACCTAGAAGCCCAGAAAACGCAAGATGCGCCGATTTAACGTCTCTCTTGACTACCCCTTGGGCCTGGGATGCTAAACCCTCTGGGACTCAAAGAGTTAATGTTCACTGTTATGTGCCATCTTTTATGTGACCAGCTATCATATGTTGCAGCCCTTGCCTGTCACATAAGACACCCGAAGAAATAAGCATAAAACTAATGATGATTCCTCACCAAAATATACTCTACCAAACCATGTGAAGCCCCATGTTTACTATATCTCTTATTTTCTGGTATGAACCTGCCCTTTCTACTCTTGGAGCCTGCAGCTGGAGTTTGTTGACAGCGGAACACCTCATACATGTAGAGCAGACATAGACAACCCAGAACTTATCCAAGCCTGGCTGTCATGAAGGGCAATCATGACAAGGTTAGGACGTATCCAACATCAGTCATGCACAGCTGGTCTGAGTTTGAAGAGGACAGAAATGAGCTCTAAAACTGTTTTGATGAAGACAACACTTTGGTAGCAGGTTGTTGGGAGAGTCTCAACACTAACATCTCTGATGGATGTAAATCCTTTTAATAATCTGAATGTGATGGACAGGTTGGTGGTGAGTGTCAGTAATCTCAGTAAAGTAATGCATCTTTTGTATTTCCCGCTTGACGTCTGCTGTAAGCCTAGTCATTAAATGAGCCCAAAAAAAGCCAACAGAAAATGAATGATGCAGCAGTTACAAAAAACAAACAAATCCTGCCAGCAGGGAGCAGTTTCCAGAAGTCAAAAGATGTAATTAAAGACAATACGTGAATAGAATAGAAACAAAATGGACATAATCACATCAGGGATAATACAAGTCGTCTTCTCCTGTTCAGTTTTTTATGCGTCTCCCAGTAGAAGCTCCCCATGCAACCCATTTCATAGGCACAATAGAAGCTCCCCAACCAACCCATTTCATCTCCCAATAGAAGCTCCCCAACCAAACCCATTTCATCTCCCAATAGAAGCTCCCAAACCAACCTATTTTATCTCCCAATAGAAGCCCCCCAACCAACCCATTTCATCTCCCAATAGAAGCTCCCCAACCAACCCATTTCATCTCCCAATAGAAGCTCCCCAACCAACCCATTTCATAGGCCCAATAGAAGCTCCCCAACCAACCCATTTCATCTCCCAATAGAAGCTCCCCAACCAACCTATTTCATCTCCCAATAGAAGCTCCCCAACCAACCCATTTCATCTCCCAATAGAAGCTCCCCAAACCAAACCCATTTCATCTCCCAATAGAAGCTCCCAAACCAACCTATTTCATCTCCCAGCAGAAGCTCCCAAACCAACCTATTTCATCTCCCAATAAAAGCTCCTCAACCAACCCATTTTATCTCCCAATAGGGAATGATTCCTTTGTAATCCTGTTTATCATTGGCTCCTTTTGCAGTTATAGTTGTCTAGTGGATGTAGTCGGTCTCTGATAAACCTTCCTTAACCGCTTTTTACAGCAGCAATGGTCAGTGAATTCTGACTATTACTTTCACCTCATTTATAGAGCACTTTGTGTAGATTCTGACAAAGATATTAGCATTCAACCTTCACTGCCTTTTACAGCATCAATGATAGGATTTAAGACCACTTTTCCAACTTCCCTTATCGAACACTCTGAATAGATTCTGATAGAGATATGGGCACTACACCATTAAGAAATGACAAACTACTGAACGTAACTTTGCCAAGTAAAAGCATACAAAAGCCAATAAATGCTTGAGATGGTTTGTGACATCCTGTACAGAACATACAACTAACCAACATCCCTTATAGACCCCAGTACCACACGGACGGGATCACACGGACGGGATCACACGGACGGGATCACACGGACGGGATCACACGGACGGGATCACAGCTCCGGTGGAACTATGTGCTCAAACGTGGCTACCCAAACGAACAACAAAACTGACACACCAGACTCAGCCTGTTCACATACTATCTCAGATACACAATTACAAATGTATGTCAAACAATTTGTACAATATAAGGATGACTAAAACCATCACCTATCACATTTTAGTGACAAATCTTGCCAGAAACCACATTTGAAAGGCAATCTGAAAATAAACAAACATGAAGATAAAATTAAAATTCCTGTTGTGTAGTCAAAGTCTATATATAAAGTAATGTCTTGTTAGATTATATATACTGAAATATTATAGTCAGACTATATATACTTCTTTTCTGCATCAACTGTTTAAAAGGCAGTTGACACAATGTGTTGCAGTTTACAGCAAGGCTGTGATATCTGCAACTTTTGGCCCAAACATCCAAGAAACCTCTAATTAGTCCCCTTTGATGACCACCTTCTCTATTGGTCTCACCCTGCCCCTATCTCCCTCATACTTGTTCAGTGTTGCAGTGTTCTTGAGTTTTCTCCTCACAATGTGATAAGAAATAGATCGTGGACTGTCTCTTTCTTATCCCATACATAAGTATATAAGTCTAATTTTTAAGTCTAAAAAAATCTTTCCAAAACTAGAGGTCGGTCCAAATGGTGGGCATAAAATGCATTAACTCAGAACTGTTAGCCAAATATTTAGATCAACTCTGACACTGCATGTTACCTAAAATAGCATCGTCACAGTCATATTTCTGTGGACTTCCAACAAAAGTCAACATTTCATACATGTTTTCTATTTCAAACTATATAACAATTTAAACTGCCAGAGTGGACACACAAAACAAACTTACAGAAATCATGTTGGTATTAAACCAGCATCTCTAAGTTTGGCCACAAGTTCTTCCACACTGGCCAGCTTGGCGCCAGCTTGCCTGACTGGTGGGTCTTCAACCTTGAGCACTTTCTGTCTGGGTGTCACGTCCACTCCATAGTCAGCAGGCGTCTTCTTCACCAGCGGCTTCTTCTTGGCTTTCTATTAGAATACAGTTACAAGGGCAGATATAGATAGGGCAACTGACAGAGATACGAAAATACAACCACAAACACGTATATGGAAATCTGTGGAGGTCATTTGATTTGATTTGAGAACCGACATCATAGCACTCGCGGCATTCCCATAAGCGCTCCGTCCCCATCTTCAGCAGCCAGCGAAGAGTTCCAATACTAATGGTGCCAGTAGCATTCTGATTAAACATCCGTCTTGCCTTTCCTCTGAGCCTCGAGCATCTGCCAGAACCTCTCGTCACTCTCAACTGCATCAGTCTCACCAGACTGTGGTGATCCATCTGCTCCTCCGCACTGTACAAGCTCTCCCACAAAGCACTAACCACGTCTGCCTTATCATGCATCAGTATTCCACCAAGCTGTGCAGAGCCAGCCAGTCTGCCTGCCTGTTCATTTCCCAACACACCGGCATGACCTGGTGAACAAATCCAGACAATACTCCTCACCCGTGTCCTCCGCAGAGAGGCATGCCACTCTGCATGAAACATACCCGTCCTGATCGTCCTCAGCATGCTTTCTGAGTCAGTTACAATCACGATGGGTGTGTGTGTCGTGTTCTCTAGCTAGCGGAAATCTGCAGTGACAGCCTCCACCTCCATTCTTAAGCTGGAAGTTGTGGTATCATATGCTAGGCTCTCCAAGATTTGATCATTTACCCAGATGGTTCAGTGTCTAGAAGCAAAAGAAGTGCTTGGGGTTTTTTAGCAAAAGTTAATGGTCTGTGGAGGTCAAAGGTAACAGAAACCAGAACCAACTGTAGATTATTTAGCTCTGCTATATCAGTACTGCTTCATGAAAATTAAAACAATCACTAATATTCCTTTGAAGTTAGAGTGCTTCCCCCTGAGAGGCAAGGAATCAACTTTCTGCATACAAATAAGCCATATCTGTAAAATGGATGTACATACTAAACTCGGTTCTGCAACAAGAACAATGTCCAGAAGTTGAGGAATAACCAGAACTTTCTGATGGAGTTTACAGCCATAAGATGAAGAATATATTATATGCTGACCGTAACTGCAACCATTAAAAAAAAGGTGAGAGCTGTAACAAGTAAAGAAAATGTTATACGCTGGCAATAAATGCAACCATTTTTTTAAAAAAACGGGGGGGGGGGGGGGGGGGGGGGGGGGGGGGGGGGGGGGGGGGGGGGGGGGGGAGCTGAAACAAACAAAGACAATTTCATAAAATGACACCCGAGAAGCCACGCGTGACAACCACTAAACAACAGCGTTCAAAGGCCATACCATGATGTTGGAAAGTGTAACATAAAGAGGCTGATGCAGCCTCCGATCGGTGGTCAGTACACCCGAGAACTTGCGCATGACAACCACTAAACAACAGCCCATGTGTGACAACCACTGAACAACAACCCATGTGTGACAAAAACTAAACAATAGACAAAGAAGACCTCACCATGATGTTGGGAAGTGTAGCGTAACGAGGCTGATTGAGCCTTAGATCTGTGGTCAGTACAGCTGGCAGTCTGACCTTGATTGTCTCCAGGCCTCCGTCTATTTCACGCAGGACCTTCAACTCTCCATTGGTTTTCTCCACCTTACTAGCAAAAGTTGCCTGAAAATGAAAAGTTGCTGTTCTAAAACTTTTGCTCTGCAAATTTCATGCTTTTAACAATAGCATTTCTTTTAAAAATAAAAGTTTTTTTAATCAAAACAGTTTGTGACATGAGGGTGACAATTTCAGGTGACAATACAATGATAGAAACAACAACAGCATCATGTCAAAAGACTGACATTTCAAGCAAATATTTGATGAAGATGGCAATTCTGCATGACATAAGGGAACAGACACAGGAAAAGGAAAAATTATTTCCATAATGAATCCAGCATTTTCAGTGACAATATATTATAGAGAAGGTTGCCATTTCAAGGGATAAAACATTGTAGAAAGTGAATATAATTGCTAGGGAATAATTCCTTTCAAGGGGGACACAAAGTATCAAAAGAACACTTAACTCTGGAATAAGCGTGTCAGAATGACAGATGTAGACAGAGGCTGCAGAAATATCTTGGTATTTACCGACTACTGTTTTCTGTGTGGCGAACAAGGAAATTGTTCATTAAATTCACATTTTATTAGCATAGAATTTTTGAAAACATTTGCACTTAGATATACAAGGTATATAAGTGACTCCTTGAGTGTGAAAGTGCATGAAGCAGGAGAACTGGCGAGAGACCGAGTTTCTTTCAGGCAGACTGTGATGAGAGCGACGTTCTGCAAAGGACCTGCTACATAATGATGATGATACAAGGTGTGTTCACAAAAATATCAACCTGTGGTCAGGAAAATTACAGCCACTCACCTAGAGGCAGGTTAGAACCCAAATGCCATTCAAAACTGTCTCCTGCAGATCGCATAACTTTCCTGGTCAATGTCGCAAACATTTCAGAAAGGTCTTTTCTATGCATGGAGTAAAGTGTGATAGTAATGTCCTTTGTGTTTTTGTGATTCAAACTGAGTCCCTTTCAGCATTTTCAGCTCAGGCTAAACAGTGAAGAACAGAATCAGAGCACTTGGGGCATTCTCCTTGTTGCTTTGTGGATACCTTTAGCACAGAGTTGCAATACTAACTTTGTGGATACCTTTAGCACAAAGTTGCAATACTAACTTTGTGGATACCTTTAGCACAGTTGCAATACTAACTTTGTGGATACCTTTAGCACAAAGTTGCAATACTAACTTTGTGGATACCTTTAGCACAAAGTTGCAATACTAACTTTGTGGATACCTTTAGCACAAAGTTGCAATACTAACTTTGTGGATACCTTTAGCACAGTTGCAATACTAACTTTGTGGATACCTTTAGCACAAAGTTGCAATACTAACTTGTGGGATACCTTTAGCACAAAGTTGCAATACTAACTTTGTGGATACCTTTAGCACAGTTGCAATACTAACTTTGTGGATACCTTTAGCACAAAGTTGCAATACTAACTTTGTGGATACCTTTAGCACAGAGTTGCAATACTAACTTTGTGGATACCTTTAGCACAGTTGCAATACTAACTTTGTGGATACCTTTAGTACAAAGTTGCAATACTAACTTTGTGGATACCTTTAGCACAGAGTTGCAATACTAACTTTGTGGATACCTTCAGCACAGAGTTGCAATACTAACTTTGTGGATACCTTTAGCACAGAGTTGCAATACTAACTTTGTGGATACCTTTAGCACAGAGTTGCAATACTAACTTTGTGGATACCTTTAGCACAGAGTTGCAATACTAACTTTGTGGATACCTTTAGCACAGAGTTGCAATACTAACTTTGTGGATACCTTTAGCACAGTTGCAATACTAACTTTGTGGATACTTTTAGCACAGAGTTGCAATACTAACTTTGTGGATACCTTTAGCACAGAGTTGCAATACTAACTTTGTGGATACCTTTAGCACAAAGTTGCAATACTAACTTTGTGGATACCTTTAGCACAAAGTTGCAATACTAACTTTGTGGATACCTTTAGCACAAAGTTGCAATACTAACTTTGTGGATACCTTTAGCACAAAGTTGCAATACTAACTTTGTGGATACCTTCAGCACAGAGTTGCAATACTAACTTTGTGGATACCTTTAGCACAGAGTTGCAATACTAACTTTGTGGATACCTTTAGCACAGAGTTGCAATACTAACTTTGTGGATACCTTTAGCACAGAGTTGCAATACTAACTTTGTGGATACCTTTAGCACAGTTGCAATACTAACTTTGTGGATACCTTTAGCACAGAGTTGCAATACTAACTTTGTGGATACCTTTAGCACAGAGTTGCAATACTAACTTTGTGGATACCTTTAGCACAAAGTTGCAATACTAACTTTGTGGATACCTTTAGCACAAAGTTGCAATACTAACTTTGTGGATACCTTTAGCACAAAGTTGCAATACTAACTTTGTGGATACCTTTAGCACAAAGTTGCAATACTAACTTTGTGGATACCTTTAGCACAGAGTTGCAATACTAACTTTGTGGATACCTTTAGCACAAAGTTGCAATACTAACTTTGTGGATACCTTTAGCACAAAGTTGCAATACTAACTTTGTGGATACCTTTAGCACAGTTGCAATACTAACTTTGTGGATACCTTTAGCACAGTTGCAATACTAACTTTGTGGATACCTTTAGCACAGTTGCAATACTAACTTTGTGGATACCTTTAGCACAGTTGCAATACTAACTTTGTGGATACCTTTAGCACAGAGTTGCAATACTAACTTTGTGGATACCTTTAGCACAGTTGCAATACTAACTTTGTGGATACCTTTAGCACAAAGTTGCAATACTAACTTTGTGGATACCTTTAGCACAGAGTTGCAATACTAACTTTGTGGATACCTTTAGCACAGTTGCAATACTAACTTTGTGGATACCTTTAGCACAGTTGCAATACTAACTTTGTGGATACCTTTAGCACAGTTGCAATACTAACTTTGTGGATACCTTTAGCACAGTTGCAATACTAACTTTGTGGATACCTTTAGCACAGTTGCAATACTAACTGTACTACTTGTAGTTTGATTATGTTTTTTCTTGCCTGTCTTCTGAGTGCTGAGTTTCTGCTAGCTCCTCTAGTTACAACCTATTTGCACCACTCTTTCCAGGCTCTTCCACAAAGTTCACATAGCCCCAAATGGCCTTTACCATATCATCCTTGTCATGCAAGGTTCACCACCCAGTGATGCAGAACCAGCCAGTCTGTCTGCCTCTTTGTTTCCAGACACACTGGCATATCCTAGAGAATTAATCCAGTTCAGGGAACATTAAAACACCTGAAGGATTCATTCTGAAAAAAGCTGAACCTGATAAACCAGAGGAATGTGGTGTTTGTCGAAGAATGTTCCGCAAAAGGAAGATGGTGGTTCTATCATGGCAACAACCTTCCTCCCCCACACCTATTCTTTATAAATTATTCAGATGTTTCTTACCATCCCCCTCAACTCTGTGGAGTCAAGGTACAGGGTATGATAGACAGAATAAACACACTGATAGCTCAACCTAAACACATGGATAGCTCAACATAAACACACTGGTAGCTCAACATAAACACACTGATAGCTCAACATAAACACACTGGTAGCTCAACATAAACACACTGATAGCTCAACATAAACACACTGATAGCTCAACATAAACACACTGATAGCTCAACATAAACACACTGATAGCTCAACATAAACACACTGATAGCTCAACATAAACACACTGATAGCTCAACATAAACACACTGATAGCTCAACATAAACACACTGATAGCTCAACATAAACACACTGATAGCTCAACATAAACACACTGATAGCTCAACATAAACACACTGGTAGCTCAACATAAACACGATAGCTCAACATAAACACACTGATAGCTCAACATAAACACACTGATAGCTCAACATAAACACACTGATGATAGCTCAACATAAACACACTGATGATAGCTCAACATAAACACACTGATAGCTCAACATAAACACACGCTATAATAGAATGTTGAAGAGGAAGAACAGTGAGAGGAAATGATAAGAACTATCACAACCTGTGGCCAGTCGAGCAAGGCTGCAATCATCTGTCCCGTCTGATTGGCATCATCATCAATGGCCTGGAAACATAAGCAATAGCCACTGTAAACAATATAATCATATTCACACTACATAAATGCATCACTCACGCGATCATATTCCCACAGCAAAGATGTACTGCCCCCTGAATCATATTCCCACAGCAAAGATGTACTACCCCCTGCATCATATTCACACAGCAAAGATGTACTGCCCCCTGAATCATATTCCCACAACAAAGATGTACTACCCCCTGCATCATATTCCCACAACAAAGATGTACTGCCCCCTGAATCATATTCCCACAACAAAGATGTGCTGCCCCCTCAATCATATTCCCACAGCAAAGATGTACTGCCCCCTCAATCATATTCCCACAACAAAGATGTGCTGCCCCCTGAATCATATTCCCACAACAAAGATGTGCTGCCCCCTGAATCATATTCCCACAACAAAGATGTACTGCCCCCTCAATCATATTTCCACAACAAAGATGTGCTGCCCCCTGAATCATATTCCCACAACAAAGATGTACTGCCCTCTCAATCATATTCCCACAACAAAGATGTACTGCCCCCTCAATCATATTCCCACAACAAAGATGTACTGCCCCCTCAATCATATTCCCACAACAAAGATGTACTGCCCCCTCAATCATATTCCCACAGCAAAGATGTACTGCCCCCTCAATCATATTCCCACAACAAAGATGTACTTCCCCCTCAATCATATTCCCACAACAATGATGTACTGCCCCCTGAATCATATTCCCACAGCAAAGATGTACTGCCCCCTCAATCATATTCCCACAACAAAGATGTACTGCCCCCTCAATCATATTCCCACAACAAAGATGTACTGCCCCCTCAATCATATTCCCACAACAAAGATGTACTGCCCCTTCAATCATATTCCTACAACAAAGATGTACTGCCCCCTCAATCATATTCCCACAACAAAGATGTATCACTCACATAACCATACACATTTTTCAAAGTTGATTATATCTACACATGAATGGTGCACCACTCATATAAACATAATTACTCAAAATGTATGCATTACCCACAAATGGAGGCTGTATCCCTAGCAAAATCAAACTAAAGCACATCATAAACTAGTGATACAAGGTGTACTTCCTGCACAGTAACATCCACACAAGAATGATGCTTAATCACATAACCTTATACAGGATGAATGATGTACCAGCAGAATCAGATGACACCAAAGTGTCAACTAAATTCTCCTAAAAACTAGGGCTGTACAGAATATTCACTTCCTGTTCGCATTAGGGCCGAATAGTGGACCTAATTGGACCTAATAACTATTCGGTATTCAGCCAAATACTTGCAGTCAGGCCGAATAAGAATAGTGGTTATCTTACACCAGTTTCTGCATAAACTGCGAATGACTGAAATAACTCTCTCATTAACACAATAGTTGCTGTTGCCTAAGTCTGTTGTAGCGGGGGCAACTGCGACCCGGTTGCTTGGTACAGCATCCAGTTTTAACATATGGCTCTGAGTCCCGGACAATCGGTAGGCAGGCCAAACAATTTCTTAAGGCCTCAGAGACGTGGTTTTACAGAACAATGCTTAAAATACCTTGGACAGCCAAAAAAAAGCAACCAAGAGGTTTTGAAAGAGGCGGTAGCCCGAAGACAACTAATCACAGACATCAGAAGGAGACAGTCATTATTTTTTGGCCATGTTATGAGAAGAGGGAAAATGGAAAATGTTGTGACCACTGGAAAGATCTGTGGAAGGAGGGATAGAAGAAGACAGCGAGAGAAGATTCTAGACAGTCTTGTTGCATGGTATGGAGGTGTGTCGGCACATGAACTGATACATGCTGCAGGAGATCGCAGATTGTGGCAAGGCCCATACCAGTCGGCGAGGTACCTGATGATGATGATACACTATTCGTGTTAGTATTCATATTCGGCCGAATAGTTGGTCCCGCTATTCGTATTTGGCTGAATAGTGAAAATCCCTATTCGGTACAGCTTTACTAAAAACTAACAAACCCAATCAGCCAAATACAACTTTTTATACAATGACCTGAAGACAAATATACAACTTTCTATACAAGGACCTGAAGACAAATATACAACTTTCTATAAAAGGACCAGAAGACAAATATACAACTTTCTATACAAGGACATGAAGACAAATCTACAACTTTCTACACAAGGACCTGAAGACAAATATACAACTTTCTATACAAGGACCTAAAGACAAATCCATTACCTATTACACAAGGACCTGAAGACAAATTCCCAACCTATTACACAAGGACCTGAAGACAAAATTCCCAACCTATTACAGAAGGACCTGAAGACAAACATGCCACAACAAATGATCTAAAGAGATAAGACAAATTACCTGCTTGCCAGTTAAGACCAAGTCCACCTTCTCCTCCTGGGCTACTTTAGAGAGGATCTTGGCCACGTGCAAGGGCTGAAGGTGATCGTATGTCGCAGGATCGACTTCCACGTGGATGGCTCTGTCAGCTCCCATGGCCATGGCAGTGCGAAGAACTTCCTATCAACAAAATAAAGTCGAATGTCACATTTAATAAACAATGTGATAGTACGAAAACACAATCAACATTCTTAAAATATATCAAAATCAACATTCTGATAATAAGATGGCATACTAAACATTCAGATAGCTTAACAACACTGTGACAGCTTGATAACATAATCAATATTGCTAGAAGGTCAGTAAAAACTGAGCTAAGATGAAACAGAAGGTAATAAAAACTGAACTGAGAACCAGAAAGTATATGCTTACCTGACACTGCGTGGGACCACAAGACACAGCGACGATTTCTGAAACAATCTTCTTCTCTTTCAGCCTCACAGCTTCCTCCACAGCGATCTCATCAAAGGGGTTCATGCTGTGCTTGACCCCATCGGTGACGACCCCTGATTTGTCTGGCTTGACTCGAATCTGTGATCAAGTTTAAAAAGCATACAATTGAAAACATGGTTTATTTCGTCCCAGTGTAACTGAAACTAAACAATACAAATGTCAGTTTCTATGACCCTTGTTTGTCTTATTGGGAACAAGACAGAAATTCTGTTTCACAATGTAAATGCATGCTATGATTCTCCTTCTTCTTCTTCTTTAATTAATATTACATTATTTATTATTATTACAGGATAATGATCAATCTCTGTCGCTAACATGATTCTGTGACCTGGGAGTAAAACTTGGTAAAGCATGCCTGTGCTGTCCTTGAGGTCAGCAGGAGACAATGTAACCAATCCTCGAGGTAACAATCAGTAGAGGTACCTTGGACAGAATCTGCATCGGAGAACACAGCACACATGGAAATACCTAATGTGCATTGACACTTATTGTGATAACAACATTATTATCATTACACTGTTGTAATTCTTTGGCATTTTTTCTTCTCTTTGTTCTTCTTTTGTTTCTATTTTATTTCTTCTTCTGCTCCTCATGCTTCTTTCCTTTTTCTTCTTGTCCTGTTCCTATTTCTTCATTTTCTTATTATTACCTATTTTATAATAATTGTTGTATTTTGTATTCCTTTCTACTTTTCTTGCGGCGTCCGTGGCTTAGGCGTTGCTAGTCCAACTCGTAATTCCAACATACTGCGATCAAAACCCACAGCTGGCTGCATGGATTTTTATCATGGAATAGGGCGTCGCAAGTCGACCCAGGCTAAAATTAGTACCAGGATGGCTGTTTTGGGGAAGTAAAGATGGCTGGAGTAATGATGACCACATTACCCACCTAGTGCCGATGGTCTGTAAAAATATGGGAGCTATGCCCGATACTCCTAAAGGCGTGGAAAGGGATCTTTACTTTTACTTTTCTTTCCATTTGTTTTTCTTTTGCTTTTTCTTCTTCTTCATAATATTATTATTGCTGGTGTTATTTGTATAATCTTATTCTTCTTCTGCATTCACCCTTTATAAATATCAGTTAGCACACTGTGTTGTTTACAGATAGGCTGTGACATCCGCATCCTCTTCAATTTCAGCAAAGCTTAATAAGTCGCCTTTTAGAACACATTTTTAAAATGTATCCCCCCCTCCCCACCTTCATTTACTAACTTCTAATCTTGCATGCAAATGTGCAAAAATATGTACCTCTAAAGTTTATCTTATACTTTAAGCACTTAATAAAAAAAAAAACAATCAACCTTGAAAAAGGTAGCAGTACAAAAAAGGAACTACTATTATTATTAACATGTCAGGCACTCTTCCCATTACCGGTCCCAAAGTATACAGTTAAAAACATCCTATTCAGCGCCTCAAGAGGTCATATAGTTAAAAATATGGAATAGAAACACTACGAACTATGCTTCACGTTATTATATAATTTCATGGGAATGAAACTCTTGAGTCTTCGGTAGTATAATTGTAAGTATTCCTCCTGTCACGCGTGTGGCCGGTGTTCGATTCCCCTCCGGTTAATAATATTGTTTGTTAGCCCTTAAAAGAGCGATTGGCACGTTGTTTTTGGTTTACAACAAGGCTGCAATAGCGGCGGCAAGATGCTCAATGATCATGTCACAGGTAGGTAATCTTTCTTTTCGTTCGCCCTTGGATGTTTTTGGCAGTGAATAATTTAGGACCGGTATTCGGAAGAGTGCCACAAGTCATCTACTCTTCTTCTTAATGCTGCCCGACTATAAACTCTAGTTGCATAAAGTTCTGGTTGTTCGTCGACTTCTGGACTCTGGTCTTGTTACAGAACTTGAACGTTGCGTGTGCGTTCGTTTTACCGATCTCTAGTTATGCAGACTGTTGGTTCCTTGCCTCTCAGACAGAAGCAATCTGACTTTGGAGGAAACACCCCTAACCAGTCGACTTTTAAGACATGCTTGTTATCATTTTGAGGCAGTTTATCTATTATTTTTCTCCCAAAATGGGTGCCTGGAACACACACGGGGCAACAAGTCGCGTTTTCTCTGGGTAGAACAGACTAAATCTAAACAGCAAACAGTGTTGAATTAATGAACACTCCGGACATTGTCTAGTAAATTAAATGACAACCACTTTTCTGTGGTTGCTAAATAATAAATACATACCTTCACTGCATAGTCAATGACTCTCTTACATCCAACAAGCACGCGAATGCCCGACATGTTTAGCACAATTAACAACAACTAGAAGTTAAATCAAACACTTGGACGACAGTCCACAAGTCCGCACTTCTTGTCAGACTCGGACGTTCAACGATCGTGAACTTTGACCCTAGCCAACACATCGTTTACTTTGTTCTTGTAATATTAAAAATATTTACTAAAGCTGGGAAAACAATTATAAACAAAAGAATTAGGTTTTTCGCGTGTTAATTTTAAAAACAAAAATGAAGGTATTTTGAAATCATCTGTGCTAAGCCATACCATTGTTTTATGCCATCTATTAATCGGTTATGGTTGATACTGTTCCCTTCCCATCTCTGACACATAAATTCTGGATGGCAAGCACACATGACAAATCCCATATACCCAGTTCTACTATCTGTCGTTGCTGATGCGTGCTGTGAATGTGGACTAACAGTTAGCAACAACAAAAAAGACAAAGGTTATGGTGCAAAGTGTCAATGACAGACCTACAGTCTACATTGACGGTGAAGAGCTTGAGAAAGTAGACCATTTTACCTATCTGGGCTCCACAGTGAATAGTAAACTATCGCTGAACCAAGAAATCAACACCAGGGTAGGTAAGGCAGCAACATCAATGAGCAGATTGACAAGAGAGTTTGGGAGACCAGAAAGCTCACAATTAAAACAAAAACACTTGTCTATCAGGCTTGTGTTCTCAGCACTCTGCTTTATGGCAGTGAAACGTTGTCAACCTATTTGCACCAGGAGAAATAGCTAAATAGCTTTCACATGAGCAGCAGGTTAGCCCATCATACCTGCCCGCGGCCGTGTACGCGCCTTCGGTCGGGTGTTCCAACCATTATGTTTTCCCGCGATGCGCTCAAAAAGGCCAGGGATTAACACCCGCAAGAGCACGGGTCCACGAACCCGGGGCCACGATCGACGATGTGGCTGCACTGGAAAGGATCCTCAAACGAGCTATCATCCTGCGAGACATCGCGATGTGACCCCTAGAGGGTGTTCCACCCGCGCGCCCCGGGTGACCGCGCATTAGGACCCCCATGAGATTGGCATTATTAATTTTAAGTTAGAGAAATATGCAGCGTAGAATATACAGCCCGATGGAGCATAAAGGATGTGCCCGCACGTTGCAATCTCTGGCACGGCAGCAGGCAGCGCACGTCGCTGAATACCCACCTTACTTGCGGCAACACCAGCTGTCCATACTAGGATTGTGGTGGCCTAGCCTAGGTCCTATCCATATCAAGGAAGGTCATATTATGGTGGGAAATACGAGAATGATGCCTAATGAGGCCTTATGTGAGGCGGCTCTCCAAGGCTACATTGGGCTTATGTTTCTATTCCGTGAATGGGGCGCAGATGATTTCAACAAGGCTATGTGTGCAGCTGCCGCCCAAGGCCATGAGAACATCGTGCGACTGTGTCGCGAATGGGGTGCAGATAAGTTAAACTGGGCCATGTTTAAAGCTGCCGCCCAAGGCCATGAGAACATCGTGCGACTGTGCCGGGAATGGGGCGCAGATAAGTTAAACTGGGCTTTGGTTGAAGCTGCGGGTGGAGGCCATGAGAACATCGTGCGACTGTGCCGCGAATGGGGCGCAGCTACTTTCAACAGGGCTATGGTTGAAGCTGCGGGTGGAGGCCATGAGAACATCGTGCGACTGTGTCACGAATGGGGTGCAGATAATTTAAACAGGGCTATGGTTGAAGCTGTGGGTGGAGGCCATGAGAACATCGTGCGACTGTGTCGCGAATGGGGTGCATATACATTTAAACAGGGCCATGGTTGAAGCTGTGGGTGGAGGCCATGAGAACATCGTGCGAATGTGTCGCGAATGGGGTGCATATACTTTAAACTGGGCCATGTCTAAAGCTGCCGCCCAAGGCCATGAGAACATCGTGCGACTGTGTCGCGAATGGGGTGCATATAATTTAAACTGGGCCATGTCTAAAGCTGCCGCCCAAGGCCATGAGAACATCGTGCGACTGTGCCGGGAATGGGGCGCAGATGATTTCAACGCGGCTATATGTGCAGCTGCGGGTGGAGGCCATGAGAACATCGTGCGACTGTGCCGGGAATGGGGCGCAGATGATTTAAACTGGGCTATGTCTATGAGAACATCGTGAGCCTGTGCCGGGAATGGCAATAATTAATTTTAAGTTAGAGAAGTATGCGGTGTAGAATATACAGACCTGCCACATGC